GGAATTGCCTTCGCAAACGGAAAATCGTTCGCGAATGTATAGTTATGAGTTTGTAGTCCCGCATCTCAACAAGTAAACGAATATTTCGCGCCTGAAAAAGTTGCAGAACGTATTGATCCGAACTGGCAGCGCGGCCACTCGGCTGCTGCATGGTGGCGGCTAAGTGGTGCACACCTGCAGACATCACTATTCACGTTCATAGTTTGCGGGTAGACATGTTCATGTGTGCTCTGTTCTTTTTTGAAGGTACGACAGGTCAGCTTCATTCAGTCAAGTTAGAGATGCGGGACACTGTGTATTAAAACAACAGTAATCGAAAGGTATAATTATCTATACTGTCCAATTGAAAAGTGTTGAAATAATGCGCCTACCATTCAGACACAGAATATATGCTTTCATGTACGTCTGACGTTAACAAATGCATAATTTTGCATGTTTTAGCAAACTTTGGTGACGTTGAGCTTATCTCTCTAGCTATCTATTTATCTATCTAGCCGCGACTTTGAGCTTATCTACCTATCTATCTAGCCGCTTACGTTTGGATGCTCTCGTGAGCACCCCCTTGGCGTGAACCAAAATTAGCATGAGAGGGTAAGATAATTTGATGAATAAGACGCGCTGGCCAAGGCGTAAGTAATGTCACAATCCCGTTACGTACGACATGAAGCACTTCCCGCCTGACAGTGTGGCATACCAACGGGCGGGTATAGGCCTTCGGTATGCGGGTATGTTGCACATGTGATTGACCCAGAGTATCTACGCAGGAACGACGAGAACACACACGGGCAATTTTAACGCGCGCGCGTTAAAATTTGTAGCGTCATTTGTAGCGTCGACCCAACGAAAGCAAATAAATTTTGGGCTCCCAGCTGGAATCGAACGCAAGCATTCTGCATGGCAATGAGGCATTTTACCACAAAGCTACGCCAGGTCTCGTAACTACTTTTCAAATAGACGCTAATCTTCGTGAAACGTTAATATTGGTTGCGGTGCTGCCTACGTGCACAATTATGTAAGCATTACATATGTACTCTTTTGATACAGCCGTCACGTCGGGTTAACGTCAGTTAAGGTTTATTGTCATGCGCTGAAGTTGATTTATGTAGCAGTGTCCAGGACCAGCATCTTCGCGAGCATCAGTGATTTATATCAACTTCCAGTGTTGCTAATACGCATGTTCCAGTTTGCATCGTTGCGTAAGTGCAAACAATTACATGTTTTCCCGCTTACTCTAATCCAAGTGCCAGCTTAAACCATCTGAGCGCCGAGTTATTTATTCCTTGGGCCAAACATTCAATTCAAGCGCCAACATATTTAATTCAAGCGCCAACTCAATTAGGCCTCATGCCAGTGAGTTTAATCCAAGTGCCATCGTGTTTAATATAATTGTCAATGACTTTAATTCAGGTGCAAGTGAATTTATTCCATGCACCATAAACACAAAGTTTGCCACTTTATATGTATTAATATAAGAATACTGTAAACATGAAGTCACAGGAGGAACATTTTTCTCGTCTATACATGCTAGCGCCTATGAAATGAAATGCGCAGTGCTATTTCCAACTAACGTTTTGGTGTCATAGCTTAGAAATAAAGAAACAGTGTGTAATAATTACATTTCCGAGTACTAAATGTATTTGATCATAGAGTCCATGTTAGTCTATGCTTCATCGCTACTGCAATATTCCGGCTAATCATGTACACCATCGCATATCCATAGATTCGTGTCGTCTGCTAAGCAGACGGCATTCGGATACTTATTCGCTGAGACTTTCGCAGTCGTCTGCTCAGCTCAGTGAGAACATCAGTGACCGACAGATAATAATGATATGTTCTTGAAATCAGAAATAACCATTTTAAAAAACTAAACGTTTATTTATTCGGGTTCACGAGGAATTAAACTTTTATGAAAGCATGAAAAAGGATACTATGGTTTTCATGTAACAGAAGACGCTTAGTGTTGCTGAAGCGTGTTTGCTTGAAACACGTGTGTTTGTGTAGGGGCACATTTGCAGACAGCAAGATAGCTTTGCTGCATGTCATGACTGGACGCAAACGAGGACCACACTTTAGGAACCCAGACGAACTTCGTTGAAAAAAACAGCAGAGCATCGATGGTCGACAAAGCTGAGATTTTGGACGTCTACTGGAGTGGCGGCGACATTAAGCAAATGACCGATGCTCTAGACATCAACATATAAAAACAGCAAGATCGATTGCCGCTGCCTACAGAGAAGCATCAAAGCATGGTGGGGGTTGGACAAGGAAGTTTGTAGATGACGTCGTGAGTACTTTGAGACGAATGGTCGACGAAAACTGTACATTTACATTAAGGCAGATAAAGGAAGCCCTGGAGGAAGAAATGCTAGGAGTAATAGTCAGTACAAGCACAGTCCATCGCTTGCTGGATGTCCACTGCTACTCGATGAAGCTAGTGACGCAGACGCCCACAGATTGCAACCATGACGATATCAAGCACAGCCGCACGCTGTACGCGCAATGGCTGCAGTCTGATGGACCACGTACTTGCCGCTTCTACTTGGAACAAAATAACTTCAATATCTGGTGTTCCAGGAAGTTCAGCAGGGCACCTAAAGGACAACCAGCTGTGCACAAGACCACAATGACAAAGGGAGTGAACTTCAACCTTACAGAATGCATGTCGGCAAACGGAGTCATTCGCTGGACTGTGGTGGACAAAGTTCATTGGGATGTTTTCAATGATTTCCTCTGCGGTGTTTCGGACCACGTAAAACGTGATGAGCCAAACACCAAAGTTATATTCCTTTTTCATAACGCACCTGCTCACGCTCGAGCATAACAGGCGGCTTTGGCTAACTCCCTGCACTCTGTTAAGCACCTGCCAGCGTACAGTCCCTTCTTTAACCCCATAGAAAATGCCTTCTCGGAATTCAAGTCACACGTGAAGGCGTACCTGAGCGAACGTCGGAATTGAGATTTTGTTACACCGCAAGGCATTACGAAAAAAAAGCACAGGCGTTCTCGCCTGTGCTTCTTCAAGACTAAGGGTAAAGAGTCGACCGACCCATTAAGGGGAAACCCTATCTTTACGCACGCCGCACGCCGACCGACCCATTAAGGGGAAACCCTTTCTTTACGCACGCCGTCACGGACCTCTCCCGCCACCGCGGCGACAATCATGGGTGGCCGGACACACGTCGAGAAATGAACAGCACGTGAGAAGAACCGTATGTGGACGTACACGGACAGTTGGTTTCGTTCTCAGTGTTGACATACATGTCTGTTACCAACTCAAGGTGTATCGCTCTTGTGATCACACATGTAAGAAGGAGAACGTAAGACTTCTTGTTCTTGCCCTGATCTTATGTGTAAAGTGGGCCAGTGCAATCTATGCCTGTCACTTCAAAAGCAACGCCTTTGTTACTCTCTCAGGAGGCAAAGGAGCCACTACTTCAGTGGTGCCTCTGCAGTTGAAGCGTTCATAGGTTAGGCATCTTTTCAGGGTTCTTTTGACTACCTGCCGGCCCTTCATTATCAAGAACGGTTCTCTTAGTTCTGTAAGCGTTTCTAAAGGCCCAGCATGTAAAAGGCGCCTGTGAGCTACTTCAAATAATAGGTCAACATAAGGATGACTCGAAGGAAACACAATCGGATGCTTGGCGTCGTAAATCATTTCGGCATTTTTGAGACGCCCCCCAACTCTCAACACTCCATGACTGTCTAGGAATACATTAGGATCACGCAAGGGTGAGTTCTTCGGCATTCTTGCTGAGTGAGAAATGCACTGAAGTTCTTCGGGAAAAGCCTCACGTTTACCTCTCTGATAAGAAGTATCTGAGCCCTGTTTATTTCTTCGGTGGTCAGAAATCCTTGCTCTTTCTCGAGGGGACGCCTGGCGTTGGGCATAAATCGCAGCCTCCATGCGACGACTCTGATCATTTTAGTCAAGGAACTAAACTGCTTGAAAGGCAAGACTGATTTTTCCACCGACTGCGCAACAATGTGAACGTGCACTCGCTTTCTTTCTACTTCCACAGTTATGTCTTCACAGATCATTTCACTGCGTGGCCAATCAGTAGAAGGCTGGGAGAGCCATGAACGTCCATGCCACCAAAGCGTAGTTGTTTTGAGCACTTCCAGCGAAACTCCTCGTGTTGAGAGGTAAGCTGCATTTTCTGCACCTGGGCAGTGGTTGCATTGGTCCAGATCGGTGAGACGTTGTATTTCCATCACTCGGTTAGCCACGAAAGGTTTCCACTGGGTTGCAGAGCCCCGGACCCAGTGAAGTGCGATGGTTGAGTCTGTCCACAGAAACCACTCTTTCACTTGTAGTCTAAATGATCGGGCCAGGTAGTCTTTCAGTCGGACACCTATTAGCATACATTCAAGTCTTGGAAGGGAAAGCTTCTTGAGTGGGGCTACTCTCAAATTTAACAAGACCAAATTTGAATTGTAAATGCCCAGTGGACAAACACGCAAGTATTTAACCGCTTCATATGCCTTGGGGCTTGCATCAGAAAATCCATGAATCTCTATCTTGTCGCAGTCCCCACTGACATAACACCTTGGGACGGTTACCGCCGTTAAATGATGCAGTTCAGTGTGCCATTGCGTCCACACTGCTTGCACCTCTTCAGGCAATGTTGTATCCCAGCTAACCTCCAGCTCCCAGAGCTTTTGGAACAGCAGTTTGGCAGTCACAGTGACTGGAGAAAGCAGACCTAAGGGATCAAAAATACGTGCTAAGGCATGAAGAATGAATCATTTGGTGTTGCAGTTTCTGTCAAGGAACTCTAAGATCAACTCTATAGAAAAGGCAAGGTGATCGCCTTCTTAATCCCACACAAGTCCTAACACATGCGCAGTACTGCTTGTGGGGCACTGCACTGTGTTAGTGGGACATCCCGTTTCTTCATTATAATATATCTCCTGCAAAGTATTAGAATTTGAGTTCCACTTTTGAAGGGAGATGCTTGCCCCTTTCATTATGCCCAGTGCTTCTCGATAGAATCAGGTGCTTATTCCGTGTCGGTACCTGTGATAGGGTTGTCGACGTATAAGCTCTCAGCCAGTATTCGTGCTGTGCCAGAAGAGCTGTCCACCATGCCAAGATGGTGACGTATCGTGGCAGCAAGCAGAAATGGGCTACTAGTCACTCCGAACGGGACTCTTGTCATCCTCCAGGCTTCAAGTGGCGGACTAGGTTTTTTCTTTCTGGGTACTTCTTCATACCAGAGGAAGCGTGCGGCATCTCTATCCTCCTTCCTCAGTGATATTTGTAAAAACGCCTTTTCGATATCTGCAGCGAGTCTGATGCAGTGCATTCTGAAATTGTGCATGACCTTTAAGATATCGGGGTTTAAGTTCGGTCCTGAATCCAACACTTCATTAAGTGACACGCATCCGGTTTCACTCGACGATGCATCAAAGACCACTTTGAGGCTAGTTGACTGGCTAGCAGGGCGCAACACAGCTCGGTGAGGCATGTAATACGATCTGTTCTTTATGCTTACTGCATTTTTCGGAAGCCGCTCGGCGAATCCTTGTTCAAGGTACTGGCGTATGGCCTCGTCGTACTTCATCAGCATTGCCTCATCTTTCAACAATTTCATTGTGAGGCTGGCCAAAGGTTTCTTTGCAACTCCCTCGTTGCCAGCAAGATGAAACTCCATGGGCCTCCAAGGAAGAGCCACTTCGTATCTTCCATTGGTGAACTTAATGGAGAACTCAAAAGCCTTATGTACTTCTTCCTGCTCCTCATTATGTGGAACTAGGTCCACAATACCCATGCTTTCGAGCTCCCAGAAAGATTTGAGCTGAGTCGTCATTGGAAATTTGTTTTCCGCTACAACAACGCGAAGGACCGCTATCTTTGCACTGGTGTTGCTGTACGGCACTATTCCCGGCAGTGTCCACCTGAAGTGCGTATTAATTGCAACTAGGCCCCCTGAAGCTTGTGCACTTCACCGGTCAATATACTCCAATAGTAGTCAGCGCCAATCAATATACCAATGCCATTTTGCTCTAATTTTGCGGGTGGCAAGGTAACATCAGCTAGACCAACCACTTTCATTTTGACCTCTTTTATCAATCTCTCGGGTACAAGAAGCTTGTTACAACAGATCTCAGGTATCTCCAAGGCCTCGAGGCAGTGCTCTTTTCTGTATTACTGACTCCTCAACCGAAGCCGTACTCGCCTGCGCATTTTCTTTATGGAACTGTCTGCTCCTCCAAAGGGAAATATGGTAATGTCTTCCTCACCAAGTACTTCCAAATTCAGCTGACGTGACAGTTCTTCTGTCACAAAAGTTCTCTGACTTCCGCCATCAAATAGTGCACAGGTGAGCAGTCTTCGCTGGGTACCCTTCGCCCATATCTGAGCTGTCTCAATCAGTACAGTTGTCGTTACATCATCTTCGCTACCTGTCGCAGAGTGCAATTCGGGGGCTGTGTTAGCAGCAGGCATCCACGCAGGATTGTACTTTTAAGTAAGGTGCCTCTTACTGCATATTTTACACTTTACTCCTTTGTTGCGACATTCTCGCGATGTGTGCCCTTTAATAGTACAGCGGAAACATCGGCCAGCTTTGAGGAGTGCCCCTTTTCTTTCCACGAGTGTAAGTGGCGTCTGGCATTCCTTCGTCACATGGTCCCTAGCTGCACAAAACGCACAAGTTTCTTTCTGTTTAAATTCACTAGCCGTTAGAAGCGAAGCTGCTGACGCCCTAGAAGCTCGGGACCTTTCTTTATCAAAACGTGGTTTTGTACTACTTCCTTTGCCTTCTCTCTGCCCAACTTGCAGCGCCTTTTCCCGGCTCTTCACCTCATTTTCGAGAAAACACTGCAAACTCGCAATGCACAAGCTATTCTCTTTTTGCTCTGCAGAGCAATGTTTGTAATATTTTACAACTAGTTCACCTGGGAGCATTCGCAGAAGTGCGGAGGCGAACATTGCTCTGTAGCTGTCGATCTGGACTCCAAGAGTCGTGAGGGCGGCTATATTTCGCTGCATGTGGTCATAGAGAAGACGTAGATATCTTACCTCGTGCGCACTTCGCACAGTTGGCAGGTCCAGCAACTGCGTAAGATGCTACTGAATGAGCACATCCGTGCGTCCGAAACACTCCTTCAAAAGCTCGATGACCATGTTATAGTTGGCTGCGGTCGCTTGTATACCAGCCACCGCCGCTGCTTCCCTCCAGAAAGCGCCGAGTGCAAATACAAAAACGTCTCTCCGTCAGAAAGAGCGCCGTTGTCGTGTATGGCTTGCTGGTACTGCTTCCAGAGAGACTGACACTCCGTGGCGGTGCCGCTAAATCGCCGCAGCTCGAGTTTCGGCAACTTCACCTTTGAGCCGTTGGCTCTCAGGTTCCCGTCGCTAGGAGGCCGAGACGCCGCCGCTGCTGTAATGTCGTTCGCTCGTTGAACTCCGGCTTGTTGGTTGAGCATTGCGACACAGGCTACTATTCTGTCATTGTACGCGATTGTACGTGCGTAGTTCTCGTCGACTTCTTCGTCCGGCACAAGTGGCTCGACAGCAGCGTCCACCTCGTTCAGCTGTTTTAGGAGGGCGCCGAGTCTTGCTGACAGCACGTTTAGTGTCGCTTCGTCTGCTTGTGCTTCTAGCGATGAATCTGCTTCGGATATCAACTTCGTCGGTTGGCTTCTCAGAGCGCTTCGTTTTTTCTTAAGTCGCTCCATCGTACCTTCTTCGTTGAGTTGCTTTCAGCTGCGTGGGTGTGGCTTCGTTAGGCCTCGTTGTTAGAACCATGAAGTCCGAGGCGGTTGCACCTCCAAGGATCGTTGAGTTAATGGTAAGGTTCATCGTAACGCCGACGACTGATGGCCTTTTTGTAATGCTGAACTGATAGTGGCTTCAGTTCCCAGGTTTCCGCCACCAAAAAAAACTATTGAGAAACGAAGACGCCACACACCATCGATGATGGCTTTCGATAGACTGGCGTTTACTGCGATGAGAAAGGCAGTAATAGGAGTTTCAGATTACATGGTTGCCAGAGGACAATTGAAAACAAGCTGATAGAAGATTTACATGTATAGTGGTTGGTCATATTCTGAGCATTTCTCTAATTATCTGATTGATAGTATGAATGTGCTCGATTGTTAAGTGGCCTGTTCGAATCAGCTTGTTCCTTTGGTTGATTGAATTTTAATGTTTTGCTAACTCTGTTAGCAATTACCTTTCTAAAAAGCTTGTACACAACAGAGATTAAGCTGATCGACCTGTATTCTTCAAGTCGTTGTCATCTCCTTTCTTATGTATTAGGATGATGTTAGCATTCTTCCAAGATTCTGGTACTCTTAAAGTCGGAGACACCTCGTAAACAGGGTCGCTAGTTTTTCTAACACAATCTGTCCTCCATATTTCAGCAGATCTGAAATACGGAGGACATATTGGTATCTTCAGAAGCTTCTTACCTTATCCTCACCAGCAACGTTTTCTCTTTGATGCTCTCCAAGGCTTCTCTGGCTTCTATCAGTACTGGTGAGGTGTAATCTGCGTTACTGCTAGTTTTTTTATTGATATGGTATTATTACGAGGCAGTGGGCATGGCTCCACCTTGTCGTAGACGCATCGACGAAGAAAAAGTGGTTTCAGCGCACGAGGTCCTAGCAGCACTGGGGTGTCATACATACCTGTAAATATTGCAAACACACTGCTTTCTCTCTTCCGTGTACTTGTAATCCTTGTAACAAATTCTTGGACGTGCTGGGTAAGCAAGCGTCATACAACGGAGCTCCGCAGTGGTCGTCAAATTGGAGTTTCCGTGATGGAACACGAGACTGATCTCACGGCCACCTCTCCATCGGCCTTGGCGATGCCTGCAACATCCACGGCAACGCCTCCACTGGCCCCACCCCCACCCACGTACATGCTGACGCATCCTAAATATACAGGAACGTTCTGCGGTACGGACGAAGTTGATGTTGAGGACAGGATAGCCGACTACGAACGTACCAGTGCGCTCAACCGGTATGACCCGAGTCTCATGCTGGCCAACTTGCTATTTTACCTGAAAGGCACGGCCAAAGTCTGGTACGAGGACCATGAGGAGGAGATTGGCAGTTGGGACACATTCAAGGACAAGCTTCGCGACTCATTTGGGAAGCCCGTTGATTGAAAGGCGGCTGCAAAGAAGGAGCTGTCTATACGTGCTCAGACATCCACGAAGCCGTATATCTCAGATATAAAGGACGTGCTGGCTATATGTCGTAAAGTCGAAAGTCGACAGTGACATGTCGGAGTCAGATAAGGTTGGCCACATCCTCAAGAGCATAGCGGACGATGCGTTCAACCTGCTAATGTGCCGGAACTGCGTGACCATCGAGGAAATTATTCAGGAATGCCGGCGTTTTGAACAGGTGAAAAGCAGGCGTGTTTCAAGATCATTCACTCGAATCCCGAACAGCACTGCGACGTCCTCCTGCGAAGATGGACTGTGCTCTCATTGGCAGTCTTCACCGGCGTCTGAAATTAAGTGTATCGTCCGGCGGGAAATCGAAGCAATTACACCTGCTCTTCCCAACAATGGCCACGTCGATTCGCAAGTACCTCAGGTTTGCTTGGTACAGTCGATTGTGCTGGAGAACTCAGCAATTTGGGCTTCGATGTCTGCGCCGTTGCTCAGTCTCGACCTATTGGCTTCCGTTCAAGGTCGCTACCTCACCCCAGGTCACCGCCCCAAGGATGGTCTTTTCCACGCTCTCGCAATCCGGCCGAATGGCGAACAGCGGATGACCAGCCAATCTGCTTCAACTGCCGCCGCGTAGGGCACGTCGCACGGTATTGCCGCAACCATTGGTCTTCGTCCCGAACAAAGTATAACACTGCTCGCCGTGCCGACAGCTACCGCCGCCTTCCACTCTTCGATTCCCCTGATACTCAGCACAGCCGCTCACCGTCGCCTCGACGTCATCAGTCTAGTTCCCCACCTGCACGTCGCCGGTCATCCCCTTCTCCTCTACGACGACGCCAGACCTCCCCGCTCAATTCTCATCAGGGAAACTAAGCGGTGCAGCTCTTAAAGGTGAAGCTGCATCCACGATAATGACCTCAAATCCTCTCGTTGTACTGCCGACACGACGAAATTTGATTGACGTAGACGTTAACAGTCTGACTGTTTCTGCACTTATTGACACCGGGGCGCATAATTCTGTGATGAGTGCTCGACTTCGTCGCTGCCGGAAAACGTTCTCACACCGGCTGCTTCTGGCATCATCTTTGTCGCCGACGGAAGAAGTCTTGACATCACAGGAATGTGCACAGCACGCATCACAATCGCCGATCACCCCACATCTGTTCTCTTTGCAGTTATTGAGTAGTGCCCCAATGACCTGATTCTTGGATTGGATTTCTTGTCCACTCATGCCGCTCTCATTGATTGTGCAACCGGAATTCTTCAACTTGAACCGCCTCGACTTGGAGCTGTGCCGTCCTCACCGCCACACCGCTTGTGCGCTGTTGATTATGTTTGGCTGTCACCACAAGCCACCACGTTTGTGGCCTTAACGATATCACCAGCTCTTCCTGACGCTGGCTACATAGTGTCTCCATTAGTGGATGTGCTCTTAGGGCGAAGTGTTGCTGTGCCGCATACCATCGTGACTATCGTGGACAACTAGGTTCAGCTTCCGCTTCTCAACTTTAGTACTTCGACCCAAGTTCTCCCGCAAGGCATTTCGTTAGGCCATGTTTCCCCACTTGATGCATGTAACATCGTGGCATTAGACCCTGAAGACAGTTCGTCCCCTATTGCAGCCAGCCAAACAA